CCCCCCCCCCCCCCCCCCCCACTTTCATTTTCCATATCAGGTAAATCCACAAGGAGTAGAATGTGAGAGGATATGCTCCAGTCTCCCTGATCTTGTAACATCCGAGTTGCTATGGTAAATACTTTATATAATTTTCTTCTTTGATAATTTGAAACTGTGAATATTATTAAGTATTGAAGGCGGTTAAGATCATTGAAAATCACTTTCGATAGGGATGCTTTGTTTGTTTTGGTTAATGGATATTGATGAGTGAAACTTGATATCGTGCTTGAGAATTATGACTTTTTATCTATTAGTTTTCCTATTATCCTATTGAATTTTATAATCCATGTCATTTTGGTTACCCTCATTGTCACATGTTCATGGGAATGTCTAGTGACAGGGAAAGCTAACTTCGTATGCCAATATGTATCTGATAAACTACTTTAGGTATTTGAGGCTAAGGATTCTTAGAGGAAATAGGAAAAATCCTCGACTAGTGGGTTAATTGCTACTTTTTGCTGCCTATTCTTAGGGTATGGAAGTCTCTGTCAGAAGTGACATGCTGCAGGTCTCTGGTTGTTGTCTACGATGGTATGTGTATATTTCAAGTTGGTTTTGCTGCTGAATCAGCTGAGGGTGATGGGGAGGCCGAACATGTTGAAGCTAGTAAACTGATGCAGGGATTGCTCTACAAGGGAATTCTCAAATCCCAAGCTCGTGAGTAATAAACGACTTGTGCACAGAGACCATCACACAATGTACTACTTGATTGGCGTGCAATTGTAAATATCTGTCACTATTCGTTTTTGAGAAACCATCTTTCCTATATTTGCAGAGAGCTACTTGGCCAATCTTTCTCTTTATCCAGGGAAGTCGGAGCTGCCATTTCTTCCCTCAAATACTCAGGTACTTCGATATTAAGGGTTGTTGTTAGATTTGTTCGTTTTTCTCTTATCTCGGGAATAAATAACTGGTCGATAGTTTTCTACAGTGTTTCATTCTTTGGTATTTGTCACCATATAACTAGTAGACACATAAACTAATAAATTCTATGCATGTCTGATTATGGTTTAGAGTGCAAATGAAGCTGAAGAATAATTGGACTTTTAGTTATATATGTAATTAGCTATTACGTTCCCACATATTCTCTTTCAGAAACTTGGGAGTTCTTTTCCCTGCCTACTGGCTAAATAGAGACTCTTCTTCTTCACTGAAACCAGACACTGCTACTTGGCAAAGTAGGAAAGAATGTGATGAAACTTTCAATTTGATTTGAAACTTTTATGGTTCTACAATTAAATAGGATTTTATTCTTCACCTGTTTACTAATGGGCTTCCTTATTTGGAAGGCGGTGGTCAATTCAACGCCTGAAAACTTGGTAATTTGTTATAGAATCTAAGAGATTGTTGTTGGTCTGTCGTAGTGTTTCTAAAAAATAATTTTGTTATTGTGTACTTGAGTTCCCTTGCTCACCAGCCTGTATTGGTGAAGGAGTAGTAGTTAATTTTTCTTATATAAAAAAAGTGAAATAGATTAACTAAAGATAATAAATCATGAAAACAAATGATGGAAAAATAGCTTTATGAAAACAGTTAAATTTTGTTTTACTACCTTTCTCTCCTATCGTTAGGTAGTCTTTGCTATTGTAAGAAATTCAATGAGGTGATTTCCGCCTTCAATCTCATCAGCATCACTGCATGTTTGGGGGATATTTAAAAGAATCCATTTTGACTCAGTTTGTACTGCTACATATACATACAAATGAATGCAGAACAACGTGAAATTGTAACTGTGTTTGTGCACACTATATCTTACTCGTGTTAGATAGGCCGGTTTTCGAAGTAAATTGAAACCACTGCTTTCTAAGACAAACCTGCTATTCTAGGCTGTAATCTTGCAACCACTTGGGGAAAAGGGTATTGCTATAATTGGTGGCAACACTATCAGGGGTTTCACAACCTCTGATCAGGTACTCGTTCTTAAGCCTCTTTTCTCTTTCTTAATGAGACTCGTTAATATTCGTGGATTTTTTCTCTATGGGATCCTTGTCAAAAATTGGTCTTGGATATTGTTCTACCTGTTAATCAGTGTGAATAAATAGAACTACATATCTGTTTGACATAATCTCCAATTCCAGCTTCTCTACCTAGAACACTTCCCCTCGACCATTGTACATAATTTCTGCATATTGATTGTGATGGTCTTTCTTTATGTGGTATAATTACAATATCCAGCTTGAGAATTAAAATGTTCACAGGCATGGATTTCACTAGTTGGAGAGAAGCTGGATGCTACGCTGTTGAAATATTCAAATAATTTGCAACCAGCGGCAAAATTGAGCTCAAGAGGGGACTGAAGTGTTGATGGACAACACAAAATGGTTATTAGATTGTATCTTTTATTTATTTCCAATGTTTTTAAACCATTGGGGTGGAAGAGAAATAACATTGACGCCTGGAAAGGCAGGCGAAGCAACTCAACTAAGTAGTTGATTTATATGTATAGTCGATACATCATTAATGCAAAAGCTTCTCCTTTTTCGACCATTGACTCTAGATATATTCACTGATTGGTGGTAATGCCTGGTTCATTCCTTCTTTTTTTTTTTTTTTTTCTAATGCATTTTCGTTGTCTGTGGTAATGCTGACTGCATTTTTCTTAAGATGTGTGACATAGCAGACAGCAAATGTTATATTCAAATTTGAAGTATGAATCAGAAAGAATTTCATTCCAACATCTGAAAAGTGTAAGTTAAAAATCTGTAACGAAACCAGTATCATATCCATGGAGTAAAAAATTAATCGATGAACATTCTTTTTGTAGCAAAAAACAAAAAATTCAATTGCTTGCTGTATGATTACTGTGTACAGGTCCCTAAGCTGCAGGTTGCCAAGAGTCGTTAACCAGAAGCTTTTTCCCACGGTAGGTATCCTGTCAAAGGATCAGAGAACAAAGTCTGGACAAAGTCTCGCAGTCCGGTGTCCCAAACTTCACAGAACTGTAACCTCCAATTGGGTGGTTCGATTGCCTCTGTCCCAAGCCCAGGTGCTCTATCCTTCGATCCTTCATTCTGTGCCTCCTGCCAGTCAACAACATAGGTAGCTACTCTTCTGAAAAATTTAGCTCTAAAAGTTTCCCACACTTGATACTTGTAATGGTTTATGACAGCATTGCTTTTTGGTACGTCAAAAAACCCAGATCCTCGTTTCAACCTAAAGTGATGAACGACATTGAGAAGTGTTGGATCAAGCAAGTCTGGCCGGACAAACGATTTGTGCCTCTCGGGACTCTGGAGCCGGCAAGTGTACCCCAGTGTCACCCCCTGCGGTGGATATGATGTTAAACCCGATGGTCCGAAGCTATGGCAGGCCGTTCTAATCTCTGCAATGGTAGTTGAATTGGAGGTTGAAGCAGATGAGTTAGCAATGAGAGAATGAAGGGCATTGCGGCCGGCAGTATGGTATTCTTGCTGACGGCGATACTTTGAAGGAAAGTAGAAAAACTCATCAACATCAAAGAAACCGACCCACTTGCATTCATCTCTAGCTCTCAAAGCACAGTGTGAGAAACCTGCTTCTTGGGTTTTAATCCATGGCCAGGTCAGCCTACTGATATTGTAGTTTTCCAGGTTGAGCTCTCTGACGACTTCTTCAATGTCATCATAACTATTGTTGTCGTAGATAAACCAGCGCCCTACTCCAAGCCAAGCGTGGTACATAATCCACTCACGAAGTGCTGCTGCTTGATTCCACACCATTGTGCACACACAAAGCTCATGTTTTTCTTGATTTCTTTGCAGTTCATTCAGCTTGGAGTTGGAGAGTCTGGCCACTGAGGGCAGAGTCACCTGAAGGTGGGCTTTCGTATTGACACTGCCACGGCCCACAGTAACCCGAATTCCCTTTTCCTTGTCTAAAGTGCTCGACACACCAGCCGGCAAGGAGCACCTGATAATTTCTTGAGCTGCAGTTACTGCCTTTGTGGTAAGCACATAGTCTCCGTTATCGTTGGAATTTCTCAGTCTAAAGTGGCAGCTGAATTCAGTCGGATTTGATTCTTTGTGTGGTCGGAGATTTAGTCCCTTGGCAAACACCACAACCGTATCACCGTCAATAGCTGCCTCATAAACCACCCTCTCCCACGAGGCAACTGGATGCCTATTTCTGACCAACCAATGGTCATCGGCTTCCACGCCAACCCACCTCAAGTCCACGGCGGAGGCCGAATAATTCCGTGGTGGCAGTGGACATCTGGCAATTGATCGGAACTCATCGTACCTGTCCGTGGACAGAACTGACTGTTCGAGAGTCTCTTGTTTCAAACCTCTAGCGACAGATTTGTGGTATAAACAAACCAATTTCTCATCTCGGCTGAATTCGCCAGTGACCATCAAAAGCAAGTGGTCTGGGAAAAGGACTCGTCTTTCGATTCTCAAAGGCGAATACTTACCGCTCAAAGAATTGTCAAGTGTAGACTTGCTGGCAGAGGTGGACAAGCGGGAGAGAGTGGTGGAAGAGACATCGAGAACTGGCCGGAAGGACGCCGCCGCAATCGAGAACCACCGACTTGAAGAGAGAAACAAGAGAAAAGCAAAAAAGGCAAGGCAAAGAAACAGAGATCTTCGAGTCAAAAACTGAGCGTGCGAGCTCGACCTGCCAAAACGCTTCCTCTTCCGACGCTGCTGCTGTTCCCAATCCATTAATCAAAATTCACACCGAACCCAAATCAGAAAAAGGCTCACCACCAGCAGTGCAGATCCGGTCAGACGGAAGCAGAAGAGTGTTCGTCGATGGAGTTTTTCCGATAACCCGCCTGTCTGTTTGCCGGAGGTAACAAGAAGAAAGTGTAAACTCCAAAGAGCCAAAGCCTGTGCCTGTAATTACCGGGGAACGGAGTTTATTAGTTGAAACTGGGCTGTGATGATGTCGAAACTGCTTGATTGTTTTCTGCCGGGAGGTGGAACGTTATTCACAAAGAGGAAGCGTGAAAGTCACTCACTCTTATCTCTCTTGTCCTGCTCCTCTTGCCAGGCCGACCAGACCAGACCAGACCCAGACCATCGATTTTCTTTTTACTTTTTCCAAACAAATACTATGTTTTAAAGCTTTAAAAAATACCCTATTTTTTGTTCATAATAGAGTAAATACTCATTTTTTGTACAGACCCATTTCTCCGAATTTTTTTTTTTTTTTTTAAAAAGAGTCGATTTTATTTATTGAATAAATTAGTGGGTATTTGTTTTAAACAAGGTATAATGGTATAATGGTATGATGTAATGGGTGTTGTAGGAGTCTTAATCCCCAGATATACCTCAAATTAATGCATTAAATAAATGGGAAGGAAAATACACGTGGACGGCCCGATTTGGCTGGCGGAGTCACCGCTTCCGTTGTGCTCCCATTATTTATGAAGCCGAATGTCCTTTAAGGATTTTGGTTTGGTAGTTAAATAAAGAATATCCTTTATTTGCATTCTAAATTTTGTTGACTTATAACTTCTACCAATTATCTTTTGAATTTCGAAATAACTTACTATTTAATCCTGGTTGAATCACTTGTGATTGGTTTAGTGTTAAATAATTACTAATTATGTTCTTATTATATGTAACCAAATACTTAATTAGACGTGTAGTGTATCATAAATATGAAATTAATTAACATGCTAACTCTTATGTTAAGCCTTTCGTTATAAGTGCTGAAAATGTGGACTAAATTTTGAATAATTTGAATACACCATCGTGATCTTCAAAATTTTGTCAAATTAGTAGGTTAGGGTGTCCCGATCGCTAAGAATATTGGAAAACAAAACTAATGCCTTCCATCAAAATTATCCCAAATAATTACAATGATGATCTCGAATTCTTTTGAATCTAAAATCTCATTTACATGTATAAGAGTCTAAGCCTACTTGCCCGTAGATATTGTCCTCCAGGCTTTCATTTTTAGGTTTTAAAACACATCTCTTTAGAGAGGGGTTAGAGAGAGGCTTCCTGCTTCATTTCCCTCCCCAACTAATGCTGGATCTCATAATTCACCTCCTTGAAAGCCCAACGTTTTTACTGACACGCCGTCTAATGTTTGTCTCTAATACTTTCGTTCTCATCTTTAACTAATGCTGGATCTTACAATTCAGTCTTTTGGGAGCCCAACATTCTCGTTGGCACATAACCCAGTCTGATACCATTTGTAACCGCTCAAACGCTAGCAAATATTGTTCTTTTTAGGATTTCTCTTATGGTTTTAATTGTGATGTCCTACATTGGTTAGGGAGGAGAACAAAACAACCTTAGTGTGAAAACCTTCCCCTAGCGCGTTTTAAAGGGAAGCCCGAAAGAAAAAGCAAAAAATGACAATATCTACTCGTGGTGGGCTTAGGCCGTTTTAAAAACACTATGTTATCGAAAGGTTTCCACACCCTTGTAGAAATGTTCTCTTTTCGAACGAATATGAGATCTCACAATATGTTTAGTTCCCTTTTCCAACCAATATACAATTTTGGGCATTTTACATAGAGATATTCTCGGGTCAAGGGTGAATAAGACTTCTTTATCTTACTTTTTGAAAAAATAGGGACGCGTTTCTCCACAAAAAAAAATAATCCGAACCCAAATTATATATATATTAATTTAAAATAGGATAATTTCAAAATAGAGAGTTAGAAAAGGGTGTTCATATTATTTATGGTTGTTCATGAAAGGGAAAGTTGATAAAATCTGGAAAGATGCAGCCAACACCAATAATGCTTAAGACAAAGAAGAAACAGAAAGAGATGATAATATCATTTCTTATTTGAATGATTAAATTGATATCAATCATCAACAGATTCCGCCATATTCTGTAACCCTAACTTAACTTATGAGTAACACCTCACATTTTGTACCCATTTAACCCTTTAATTAATTCGTTTCAATTATATATTGGGCCGAATTGAGTACGAAGGCCCATCACAAAACAACGGTCTTTTCAAGCCCACCATGGAACTATAATTGGGCCATTCAAGGCTGGAGCCCATTATCTAAATTGTAGCTGCGTACATTTGAGAATTAAAATGCTAATTTTATATCATTAACCAATAAATTTTATACTAAATTAGTAAAAACTTTGTAATTTCTCTTTAAAAACAAATACCCAGTTTGAATATTAGTTGTAATTTATTTAAAAACACAATATTTGAATATCCTTTAAAAAGTTTCAAAATTAAAAATATATTCAGTTGGAATACTCATGAAAATTTAAGAGTAGTATTAACACATTTTACATTTAAAAATATAATTTTTTTTGTTACCAGTCTCTATTAACCCCTCGTAGATTATCTTCTTTTAAAAATTCATATATATGTTTTGGAACGTGATATTAAGAATAAAGTTTTAAAGTATTAATGACACTTTGTAAAGTTTTAAGATTATTAATTAACAAAACAAAATATTAACCATTTTCATAAATAATTAATTAATTAATTTTTTTTTTTTTGGAGGGTATAATAATTTATTAAATTTTTAAAAAATTTAAGATAACTTTGAGATAAGGTGGAGAGTTGATAAGTATTTAATTTACCTTAAATTTTACTGAAAATAAAATAAGGAGAAAGGCATAAATGATATTTCAATTTCGTATTAAAAAAAAAAAAAAGGAGTAATTAAAATACCTAATATACCCCGGTAAAACTAACATTCAAATTTATCCCCAAACTACAGCCGTTGGATTGAAATCTGAAAGGCAGAGCCCACCGTTTGTTGCCATAACTGGACTTAACCCTAATTTTCCCCCAAAAAGAAATTGATTTTAAACCGGGTAGGGCACAGCCAGCCCAACCCGTAATCCATATCCTCCAGAAATTTAATAGTACCCTAATTTGAGGTGGGTAGAACTTGGAAGAAGGTGAGAATGAACGGTCTGTAGCCGGTAAACCCATGGAGTGTTACCGGTTAAAAAAAAAAAAAAAAAAAAAAAAA